GTGTGTGTGTGTGTGTGTGTGTGTGTGTGTGTGTGCACGTCCAGCAGACTGTGTCAAACCCAGCCTGACTCTAACGCAGCAGCATTCCTGCAGCAGGCGTCACACCCAGCCTCACCCCTCAGCAGGGGGAGGAGGGGTGAGGCTGCGGGTCACAGGTCCGGTTCTGTCTTCACATCAGAGCGGACCAGAGGTCAGACCCGACCGTCTGGTACCTCCAGAAGCTTCAGAACCGACCTCCAGTGTTTACACGTGCAGGCTGAGGTCACCTGAGGCTGAGAGTTCTTTGATCTCAGCTCTTCTGTGGTTTAATTCATTGTTTATTGTTTCAGAATTGATTCACCTGAAAGAATCTGTCTGAAAACTGAAACCTGCAGCTCCGTCCCACAGATATGTGTCTTTCTGTGGACAGTTTCCACTTTCACAGAAACGGACCTCAAAGACTCATCTGACCCAGTTTAAATTAACTCTGGGCTCATCTAAACCTGGACATAACTAACCCTAGACATGGTCTTACCCTGGACAGATCTAACCTTGGACATGGTCTAACCCTGGACAGATCTAACCCTGGACAGGTCTAACCCTGGACATGGTCTAACCCTGGACAGATCTAACCTTGGACATGGTCTAACCCTGGACAGATCTAACCCTGGACAGGTCTAACCCTGGACAGATCTAACCCTGGACAGATCTAACCCTGGACAGATCTAACCCGGGACATGGTCTAACTCAGTTTGGACACATCTAACCCTGGACATATCTAACCCTAGACAGGTCTAACCCTGGACATAACTAAACCTAGACAGGTCTAACTCTGGACAGGTCTAACCCTGGACAGGTCTTACTCTAGACAGGTCTAACTCTGGACAGGTCTAACCCTGGACAGGCCTAACCCTGGACAGATCTAAACCTGGACATGGTCTAACTCAGTCTGGACATGGTCTAACCCTGGACATGGTCTAACTCAGGCTGGACATGGTCTAACCCTGGACATAACTAACCCTAGACAGATCTAAATCTGGACATGGTCTAACTCAGTCTGGACATGGTCTAACCCTGGACATGGTCTAACTCAGGCTGGACATGGTCTAACCCTGGACATGGTCTAACTCAGGCTGGACATGGTCTAACCCTGGACATATCTAACCCTAGACAGGTCTAACCCTGGACATAACTAAACCTAGACAGGTCTAACCCTGGACATATCTAACCCTTGACAGGTCTAACTCTGGACATAACTAACCCTAGACAGGTCTAACCCTGGACATGGTCTAACTCAGTTTGGACACATCCAACCCTGGACATATCTAACCCAAGACAGGTCTAACCCTGGACAGGTCTAACCCTGGACATGGTCTAACCCTGGACAGGCCTAACCCTGGACATGTTCTAACCCTGGACAGATCTAACCCTGGACAGATCTAACCCTGGACATAACTATCCCTAGACAGATCTAAACCTGGACATGGTCTAACTCAGTCTGGACATGGTCTAACCCTGGACATGGTCTAACTCAGGCTGGATATGGTCTAACCCTGGACATTTCTAACCCTAGACAGGTCTAACCCTGGACATATCTAACCCTTGATGGGTCTAACTCTGGACAGGTCTAACCCTGGACAGGTCTAACTCTGGACAGGTCTAACTCTGGACAGGTCTAACCCTGGACAGGTCTAACCCTGGACAGGTCTAACTCTGGACAGGTCTAACTCTGGACAGGTCTAACCCTGGACATGTCTATCTCTGAACTTCTGATGAAGCTTTTTTTATTTGTATTTTTGACGGTAATTTTAACTATGTCCTGTTGTGTCTTTCTGCGGTACATCACTTTGGTTGGGCTTGTGCTGTTTAAAGTGCTTTATAAGTAAAAGTGGTACGGTACAGTACGGTACGGTATGGTAAGTCTTACCCTGAATCAGTCGAACTCTGTACAGGTCTAACCTTWGATCAGTCTAACCCTGGACAGGTCTAACTCAGAACCTCTGATGAGGTCTTATCCTGGACTTGTCCAACCATAGACAGGTCTAATCTTGGACCGGTCATCCTGTCGGTGAAAATGTCAGAATCTTTTTTTTTTGGGAACCAGAAACAAAGATCTACAAATGTTGGGGCTAATTGGATTTTTCAGAACATTTATAAAATAAAGATTCTGTTTTGTTCTCAGACTCTTTCAGCGCTCAGACGTGTAATTATCTGAAACGTCTGTCCGCCGTGTGTTATGAAGCCCGGTGACATTCCAGCCAGCACCGTCTGATCTGCTGCAGTAAAACGTCTCGATGTTCAGAACCAGCCTCGGTTCTGATGGTCACATCCACAGGAAGTGATCCTCAGATAAAGAACATCAGCCGAGTTATGTTTATTGTAAAAACTGATGAGGTCTCTAAGTTTCATCAGGAAACATGCGCTTCTTTTGGAATGTTGGGATGAACCCAGGTGGATTAGGTTAACTCAAACACCAGTGTTACTAACAACCAAAATACATTTATATTTTTTTTTCAGTAAGAGAACTATGGATGTTTCATTTAAAATTGATGATGTTGAGATCTGTAGAGTCAGTGAAGTTTCTGAGGTCTATCTGTCTTTCTATTGAGGTCTGATTGAAAGCCAATTGGACAACTTGGTCTATCGAAGGCAGGTTGGACAGCTCAGTCCTCAGTAAGTCGATTTTACAGTCCAGTTTGCTCCAGCTCTCTAACATTGATCCTAAAGTCTGTTTTCTGTGCAACAAATAAAAAAGAATGAGCAGAAAGGTCAGAGACAAAACAACAATTCCTGAAAGCCCAGCTCTCCAAACATCCAAACAGGTTTTTATGTTTTTAATGTTCAAACTGAACCACAGGAGGGCGCTGTGGTTCTAAATCAAATGACCTTACAAGCTTTATTTTCTTACAATTAAAATTTTCTGTTTTAAATACAAAAAGAAAAATTATAGTTGGGACTTGGCTCAAGAGGCCACGGCAACACAGAGACACATAAAACAAGCAATGAAAATTGGATTTTATATAAAATATAACAATTAAGTTTCTTTTTTTAACCATCTGAGGATGAAAACATAACTTTTTAACAAGTAAATAAACATAAACTCATTTATCAGTAAATAAATCTTCAGGTTCATTTAGACAAACTTCTTTTGAAGTACAGAAACGGTCGTTTAAAAGCTGCTCTGGCAGAACCTCCCCAGATCGGATCGTCTGATTAAAAAACCACCTGATAAAACACGCGGCGCCTCACAGGCTGGTGTTGGCCGTCTTGGTCTTCAGTTCGGCACCGGTGCCGGCCGGCGTCGTGGTGCTGAGCTGAGCATCTCTGCAGAAGAACACGGCCGGGTTCCTGCAGGCCCACATGGCCACCTCCCCTCCTCCAGTCTTCCCGGGACTGGAGCTCGACAGGCGGCTGTTGTTCGCCCCCGCTCGGCTCACGTAGCGGTCCCTGATCCGCTCCGCCTGGTTCTGCCGGACCTCCCGGTTGCGGCTCTGGCCGGAGAGGTACGCGGCGATGTTTCTGGTCCGGTAGCCCTCCTCCCTGCTGCGGCCCAGCAACATGGAGATGTTGGGGTTCCTCAGGGCGTAGATGAGCGGATTGATGGCGCCGTTGGACCAGGCCAGCCAGATGGCCACAGTGTCCATGGCCGGGTTGAATCTGTAGTTCCCGATGGCCGAGACCAGGCCCATCAAACAGTACGGACCCCAGCAGCAGATGATGAAGACGATCATGATCAGCACCGTGGTGGCGGTCCTCATCTCGCTGTAGAACCGCAGCAGGTAGGCGTACGTGGTGACGGGCCGGACGCGGATCTCAGAGAGCCGAACGGTCTTGCAGATGTTGTAATGGCAGAAGCACATGAGCGAGAACGGCAGCAAGAAGCATGCCACGATGAGGCAGACGCTGTACGCCGTCCCCAGGCCGGAGCTGCCGGAGTGGAAGGCGTACATGCAGTGGTAGAAGCCTCGCTTGTGGACCTGCGTCGACGTTTGGACCAGCAGGTACCCTGGCAGGGAGAAAACCACCGCCGCCACCCAGACGGCCGCCAACAGCCGCGTGGCCTTTTGGCGCCCGATCTTAGCCTGAGGCTGGCGGACGATGGCGTAGTAGCGGTCAAAGGAGATGAGGGTCATGGTGAGGGTGGAGATGATGCCGAAGCAGGTGTTGAAGAAGCCGTTGGCCACGCAGAAGGCGTCCCCGAACATCCAGACGCCGTCCTTGCTGAAGAGCATGATGAAGGAGAAGGGCAGGCAGAGGACGGCRGTCAGAAAGTCGGACAGTGACAGCGACAAGATGAAGGCGTTTGTCACGGTCCGGAGCTGCCGGTGTTTGACGATGACGACGACGACCGCAGAGTTTCCCAGGCTGGAGAGGAGGAAGATGGAGAGCAGCACCAGAGCCTGCGCCGCCACCGTTACCCCCTGCAAGGCAGAGTTCCTGCCGGACAAGCTCAGGACCGCCGCTGTGGACGACTCGCGTTGGGCGTCGCTGCCCCTCTGTTCTCTGAGCGCTGAGAGGTTTCCTGTCGCTCCCGACGCAGCCTGAGCGGTGGCGGTCACCAGGCTGGTTACGATGGACACGACCCTGTGGACACACCCCAAACAGACGGAGAGGTTGTTTTTCTTCTGAGAAAGGTCTAACTCAAGACAAGTCTAACTCTGGACAGGTCTAACCCTGGACAGGTCTTACTCTAGACAGGTCTAACCCTGGACAGGTCTTACTCTGGACAGGTCTAACTCTAGACAGGTCTAACGCTGGACATGTCTAACCATAGATTAGTCTAACCCTGGACCGGTCTAATACTGGACCAATCTAACCCTGGACAGGTCTAACTCAAGACAAGTCTAACTCTGGACAGGTCTAACCCTGGACAGGTCTAACCCTGGACAGGTCTAACTCTAGACAGGTCTAATGCTGGACATGTCTAACCATAGATTAGTCTAACCCTGGACCGGTCTAATACTGGACCAATCTAACCCTGGACAGGTGTAACTCAAGACAAGTCTAACTCTGGACAGGTCTAACCCTGGACAAGTCTAACTCTGGCCAAGTCTAACTCTGGACAGGTCTAACCCTGGACAAGTCTAACTTTGGACAAGTCTAACCCTGGACAGGTCTAACTCTGGACAGGTCTAACCCTGGACAAGTCTAACCCT